TGAAGTCTTAACTCTGTTAATCTGTGTGTCTGTGTGTTTTGAATTTCCTCTCTAGAATACAAACGGAATGGCAGATGCATCCAGCCTTTCACCTTTACTTCCAACATTGAGAACTGGATCAACAATAATTTGACGAATGAAGCGTGAATCCTGGCAGAAGTTGTTCTGAAGCCTAAATAAAAAACAGATGAATGGTACAAACTAGCATAGCATCTGCACCCTAAAGCTTCTGATAGCTTTTTTTTTTTTTTTTAAGTATGTGTGCTTGGAACACAGCTCCTGGAGTTTTTCATTGGCAAGTGAAGACCTCGGACACATGAAAAGTAATGTGCTGGCTACAAAATACGAAGCAAAGTCTTGAATGCTCACCATGGTCTGAATGTGCGACGTTTAAGATGACACTGGGTCACGGGCACTTTCACCCTTATGAAGGGATTATGAGGTTCAACAAGAATGGATTCATTTTCATAAAGCAACTCAGCTCCTTTGTCCCTCTCTTCCGACCACACTTGTTTGTTTTCCTGTTGTATGAGAAACAGCTTGAGGCCCTCACAGAGATGTGAAGGCCTTCTAGACCGCCAGAGGAAACACATCTATTTGCTTTATACCCAACCTTGGGTACTGTGTTAGAGCAGCAGAAGATCAACTAAGATGATACTCCACTAAATGCCTGCAAAACACCAACATTCTCTCACCAATCAATGCTCCAAAAAGACCTCCTCAAAACTTTCTCTTGGCACTTTCTTTTGCTGTAACTTCCTGCAGGTCACAAGATAACTTTTTAAAGACTATCTGGGAGAGCAATGGACTACCAAGGAATTAGAGGCTCCTATCAGATCTTCTTTTAATAAGATAAAGTGATTCAAGCTCATTAATTTAGTGAGTGGAAATGATTCAACTGAAAATAGAACAACATTCTTATCTTTTCCAAAAATAACAGAACACCAAGTTTTCAATGTCAAGCTCTTTTTAAAGGCAATCATAGATTCCCTTCTTTGCTAATTTAGGTGGAAAATGTGATGTTCTTTCTCAATCTGATTTACAGTATACCAGTCCTTCATGGATGCTCACACAGTGGTGTATGTAGCAGACCCCACTGACTGGCAGAAGCTGCTCTCCAAAAAGCAGGTCACAGGCTTAGAGGACTTGAGGGGTACACAGCCTGTGTCCTTTGCTTTTATGACATTATACAGTGTCACTTTAATTAAGCCATCAAATCAAATGATCAGATCAAATGGTTTTGATTCCACTGCGGTTTGAACAGGTTTTGCTAAATTAATAAACCATATGTTTCATGTTGTTGGAAGGAAAGCTATTTTTCTCTGCTCCCTGTTCCAAGAGTCTTCACAATAGACAGTATTCAGCACTTAATCATGGAGTGATCTTCCTTGTGCCCGGCATGTGTTGCAGAATAACTGAAATGACAGCCCATTAAATCCTAAAGTCTGTCCAAGTAATTTACCGACAAAGGGCAGAGTGGTGAACTGGATGTCCCTGGAATGATCCACCAAGCCTAAATATTGTTTCCATTTACTGGAACTAAAGCTTTCTGTTTTTTATGGATGACACCCCTTATAAGTCTTTCTTCAGCAACAATACAGTATCAAGATGACTTTCCTCCTCTTTCCTTGAGTGTTTTATATCTCCATGCTCTGGTGCTTGGCACGCTTTCTTCCTTCCAGTACATCCAATCACCCCGTCAGAAGGGCAGGCCAGAATGCCTGGGCTCAGGCATCCACTAGAGCAGCGCTGCAGCTCATCATCACAGCCCTGAATCCAGTGAGGCTCTGGTTATGCCTTTGTTGCAAATGGTGACCAGGTGGTTGATTAGCAGGTCAACAGATCTCAGGTTGGTTCCAGGTCTTGGAGTGGAATGGAACACTGGCACCAATCCATTCACAATCAGGGCCACCACCCCCTCTAACTCAGGAAGTATTTACGTTGAAACAAGCCTATGATTTCTCCATCCTGGCTTGAGTCATTCCCTGAAGCAGGGGTCAACAAACCATGGTTTCCAGGCCAAATTTGAGCTGCTACCTATTTCTAAAAGATAAACTTGTACTGGAAAACATTTTCTAAATTCATTCGATTTCACATTGATTGTGGCTGTCTGCATGGTACAATGGTAGAGAAGAATAGCTGTTACAGAAATCACCTGGCCTGCCAAGCCAAGAAGATTGACTATTGGGCCTTTCCCCAGGAAAGTCTAATGACTCTCGAGATACATAATTAATTTATTCCTTTCTTTGATGACAACAGACCAACAGATGCACAAAATATCAACAGCTCTTCTGAGCGTCAAAATCATTTAATGATGATCAGATAGAGAAAGCTAATCAATCACGCTTTGTTCTTTTATAATTACTTGCAAATTGTGGAATATAACCTTTTCTTTAAAAACCTTCCTCCCTCTAACCCTGCCAAAGACTGGAGACAGAAAAGGACTCCTCCACAGCCTTGGGTCACTGCCATCTACAACCTCAAGGTTAGTAATCGAAGTCTTTCAGAATTGTTAGCATCTGTGACTGGCTTTTTGCTTAGAGTGCCACTGAAGAACCTGTATTTTCTTCGGGGGGAAGGATGATATATTTAAAAGCAAAGGAGGACATGCTTTGTTACTAGTGAAACTGAATTGATATTGCAAACAGAAATGGCTTTGTATTTACTAGGATGGTAAAAAAAAAAAAAAAGATACATAATCCCAAGTATCAACAAGGATGTGAAGACACTGGACCTTCACACATTGGACGGGAATGTGAACTGGTGCTGTGGCCTTTGAACACATTGTGGCAATTCTTCCACACCAAATCACAGAGAATGCAGAGAATGGTCCAATCGCTTGGGCCTCCATACCCACCTTGGAGAACCATATGGAGGTGCAGGCTCTTGGTTTTGGCCTGGCCCAACCCATGTTGCTGTGGCCATATGGAAAGTGAACCAGTGAATTAAAGATCTCTCTCTCTCTGCCTATGTCCCTCCCTCCCTCTCTGTCACTTTGTTTTCCAAATAAAGACACACATGGAAAGAAGGTGTTAACTTGTGTGTATCCTACAATGGATTGGGTTCTTGGCTCCGACTCCAGACTCTACCTTCTTGCTAATGCGAACCCATGGAAACAGCAGTCATGGCTCTAGAAATTGGAACCTGGATTTTGTTTTCGTTTTCATCATGGGCATTTTTTGAATAAATCAACAAACAGGAACTCTCTCTCACATATAATTTTTTTTTTATAAAATATATACAAGACTGAGTCTACTTCTAGAAACATCATAAAAATGTCTAATGTCCCTGCATCTTAGCAGTCAGCCCTGGACACTATGGTAATTGGGACAAATCTCATGAAGTGAAGAGCTGACTGTCCATATTGAAGGATAGATTTCAGAGTCTGGTCAAAGTGAGAGAGCTGTTTCAGTGTAAGATTTTGCCCACTTTAACAATCTAATGCAACAAAACCCATTATCGGTTCCAACTTCCATAGGTAATAAAGGCCATGCGTTTCCTCCACACAGCAGATATATCACATACTCAGCGCATCTTTTAGGGAAGAGCATAATCTAAGCAATTCAGGGCTACCAGATCCTATGCTTACTCATGATATAAATTCCTCATTCGCACATGCCCTCTACATTCACCTCTCATAAAACAGTCAACCTCTGTGCACCTTGTTTTTTCCCCAAGCAAGTTCTCTTGGGAAAAAAGCCTCTGCATTTGGTTATTTATTTTTAGCTAGGTTAAAAAAAAATTAGCCCAGGTGAGGTTTCCTGTGCCAATCCAACCCAAGGCATCTTAACAGGTTTGTGAGCTTGTTAATTCTCCCACTATTTCCCCGGGAACATTGCCCTGGAAAAGGTGTCAGCCCCAAATAACTTGGATCTCAAGTATTTCTACAGCAACCTTGGCCAGATGAGCTTCTACTCAGTGTTCTCAAACAAAATCACAGACAGGAAGGAAATGATCACATTCCCCCAACTCCCTTTCCTCTTCCTTCAGCTCCTTTTTGGATCCTACAGTCCGGAAAATGGGCTTATTCTTATCATTAAAGAGCATGCCAATGTGGCTGATTGATGGCATATAATCTCATTCCTCATTTCCCCAAAACATTCTTAGGAAAAAAAAAAAAACCCGTTTTGGTGGGACTGACCAGAGGCCCTCTGGAAACAAAACCTCCCCACAGAACTTTGAACACAAAAATAGCACAGTCTATTTCCAGGATAGATGAGTGACACAATCTCTTGCCATTTTCCCTAAGATCAGTTTTGAAGAAGGAGCATCTATGTTTAAAAATAATTGTCTCTTGCTACAGTAACAAAGCTCCTTATTCTTCCATTCTCTATTTCAAGTGCTAGGGCCCTGGTCAACCTCATTCCTGAGTGTTTTCTAAGCTCCATGCCACAATTATAACAATTTTAGCACATTGTCTTAACATCAGAAGACTTTCTAGATCGCTGGAAAGATATCACCTTTCTTTTGTATACAAAGATAGCAAAAGATCAAGATGACTGGAAAGCAGTTAATTCAGGTTTATTAGAGCTGGGAACTAACCTGTTCAATAATAGTTGCAAAAAGTGAGTGATTTCCAGTTGGGGTGGGTCTGGAGTGGGAGCTCTCCAAAGCCTGTCAGAATGCCCAGTACTGGGGTGTACATGGCAGCTCAGAAGTCAACACGTTTGACTTCAGAGTTAACCTACTGCTCTCAGTAGGCAGAGTTATGAAGGAAGCACTTCTCTGAAAGCTCCTCTTAGATGTTCCCACTTAGTTCTGAAGTTACAGAGAGCGTGACGGATCTGATGCTAGGGAAGAATTTGGAACATTTCTATTTCACAAATGCTGATCCACAACTGCCTCTATTTGTAATCCAGACAAGTTTCATTCAGCAGAGAAACACTGGCTGTTCCTCCCACATGCTGATTCGTGGTTGGCTGGCTCTGAACTCCTTTTACCTGTAAGTGATTTGTGATAAGGAATCTTGCTTGGGGTCAGAGCCCTTAATCCAAGCATACCTTTAGAAGCTTCTGTCCCAAAAGGGTTGTCCAGGAAGTCTGCCATGTCGTGGTTCCAGGCATCACGGACTGCTGACTTGGATACCACCCGGTCATTGAGAGCCTGCTGTGGTCGGAAGTTATTTCTCAGGTACTCCACTGACTTGACGTGATCTTGCTGCTCCGTGGTAAAGATGGAATAGAATGCCTCGAGCTGAACAGAGAACCAGGGAGGGGTGGGAGTGGGCGGGGGGGGGGGGGAGAAAAGAAAACACAGCCATCAGAAAAGCTAAGCATGCTCTGAAGCAGGTGGAGGCATGTGAGAAGGATACAAAAACGGGAGGAAGTACCCGATGCCACGGCTGACATGAGCAGCAGGACACAAGGGTGTCCGCTGTGATCACTGCCAATGCAGTGTGGTTTCTATCCTGCCAACTAACTAGGAAAACACTTCCCGTGCACAGAGCTCTGGGTCTCGGATGGCAGCCACTCCTTTTGTTGGCAGCATCCCTGACCCTCACTTCACCCCAAGACAAGATCTTGTAGTATTTCAGTATTTAATCAGGACACAGTTGCAATGGAGTCCTCCCCTCGTGTGGATGTCACCAAGAATGCTGCCTGCCCCACAAAAGGAGATGCAGAGATCTTAATATTGGAGTTCTTGCCTCAGGATGAACTCCAGCTCTGTCACTTTCCAGGTTCTGGGACCCTTGGCCAGCTACGTAGCTTCTCAGAGACTCTCCTTGATAAAATGTCATATTCAACAACACGACACACCTAATAGTGATTTTGACTACTAACTGTTGGCAAAATATCCAACCCATATACAATTCTGAAAACAGTTCCCATCTCCAAATAACTTTTAGTCATTAAATTCTTATCTAACAGATATCTTCAGGGATCAAGTTAAGCAAAGACACCAAGTCACTATATACTAAATGCATGGGCAACTGAAACTATCCAAGTTCAAAACACTACTCCAGTTTTCTATAATTCAACTTTCTTTATCTGTAAAACAAGTGTGATAGTATGTATCTTATAAGCTTGCTGAAAGGATTAAAATTTGGATAAATCACATAACAAACAGGAAATTCTCAATAAAGATTAACAGCTACCACTAGTGTTAGTGATATCAAGAAGTATCTTCCACAGGAATTACTGACCAGGGAATTAGTGCTGTGGCATAGTGAATTAAGCTGCTACATGCAATATCCCAAATTGGTGCTGATGCAGGTCTTGGCTTCTCTGCTTCATTCTCTGCTAATGTGTCTGGGGAAGCAGCAAAAGATGGCTCAAGTGCCTGGAACCATGCCACCCACATGGGAGACCAGGACAGAGTTCCAGCCGCCTGGCTTGGCCAAATCCTAACTCTTGTAGCCATTTGGGAGTGAAACAGTGGTTGAAAGATCTCTCTCTCTCTCTCTCTCTCTCTCTCTCTCTCTCTCTCTCTCTGTCTTTCCCTGTATGTGATAAGTAGGGGGATAAAATGACACAAAGAGAAAAACAAAAACAGAACAGTTTTCTAGCCAGGTGGCTCCTTCAGGGCCAAGTCAGGATGCTTTCTGAAGTGATGACAGGTAGGATGGTGTTAAGAAGATGTGAAGCAGGTACTGAATGGCTTCCACAGGCTCACACAAGCCAGAAGCTAGCTGTCACTCACACGTAGCATCAAGCACAGACTGGATTTGTGCAAGTTCTGATTGGTCATCTTGAAGCCTAGGACTAACCCTATTTGTTTTCCACACAGAAAATGAACTGTTTCCCAACACCGCGAAGCCCCCTTCCTTCGTATAAGAATGTGATGAACTTTCATTTGTCCAAGAAAAAAATCATTTCAGTGTATGGATTGATCCACATTCAACCTCTTTTCTAATTTTACTGATCATGTCAAATGTTAAGAAGTTCAGAAGATGTTTTCACTTTTTCGCCACAGTAATGCATACAGGATGGCCTCTCAACCAGCACAAAATTAAAATTGGTCCCTTAAACCTGTGTGATCTAATTCCCCATGAGTCACATTCCTCCTCCCACCAACGCACCATCTCCTATCCAACATTTGCCTTCCTTTTCTTTCTTCCTTATGCTGTTTATTCTTCATTTACAATGGAGAAAGGATAAGTGGCAGAAAACTTCATAACATTGACTGCTACGTTGTCCATAAGCAACTCACTCAAACAAAGGCAAGTAAAGAAATGGGAATCACTTCAACTGAGTTATGAGGGTTCACTTGAGGGTACTACCAACATCATCATTGGATACATTAACAGCAGGTTTCTGATTTCCTTAGAGAGCATGGAATGGAGGTTTAAATTACTATCTGGGATTCCTGCATTCCATATTAGAGTGGTTGGCTTGAATTACAGCTACTTCCTTATCCAATCCCATTTCCTGTTAAAGCAGTAGCTGATGGGTCAACTCTCTGTGCGTCTGTCACCTGCTTTGGATAGCTGGAGGAAGTCAGAGATGGAGTTCCTGGCTCCTTGACTTGGCCCAGTCCAGCCCTGGCTGTTGCAGGCTTTGGGGGAGTGACCCAACAGTTCAAGATCCTCTAGAGCCAATTCTCTAGCTCTCAATAGGAATTAACAGTCTCTCTGGAGGCAATCTAGGAAATGCTAACTTGAAATGATAAAAAGGATGAAGAACAAATCCCTTGAGACAGCTACAGGAGAGGCTCCTGGATCTGAAAGATGCTGACCAGCTCATCTTCGCATCCCAAGAGGGCCAATGGAAAGGACATTAGTTTAAATTAAAGCTTTAGAGACACACATTGAATAGAGGAAGGGGTTCCTTTGCTTTCAGGGTGATTTTTAAAAATGGATTGGGTTGCTCAACAAAACAAGTTCAACAGGATATTTTCTGGAAGAGATGGCAACCTGTCCTGAGAACAGCTTCTTCCCAGAGGAGCCAGAGAAGCATGGTCTAGGAGCCTCTCATTGCAGTAACATGGCTTGTTCATTTTCCAGAATGCTTGTTCCTTTCACAGCCAGACCTTCTCCTGAGAAAGTTTATTTTTGAAACTTCAGAAAAGAGTTAGTCATAGAACTGTAAAAACAGGCAGGTTCTGAATCTAACTCAAAATGTTTTCGCTTAAATTGCTCTTACAGCTTAACTATGTGCTATGGCTTAAATGCTGAGGCTGCTTCTTTGTCATTAATTCAACTTGTCCAAAGATTCTGCAAAAAAGGATGTGACGGTTCTGAGAGTGAGACCATGACCCGAATGATATTATATTGTCAGCTGGATCGCAATTTCACTTGACAGTCCTACAAAAGAGCTTAAGGAGGGGGACAAGCTGAGCAGATCCATCAAATGTCCTTCAGTAGGTTGGCAGCATTCACTAAAACCCTGTCACTCCTCTAGGCTGAATGAGAATTGCCACTGGCCTGCCTTGCTGGTAACTGGCATGCGTGGCCACTGAGTGGGAACCTCCACAATTCCTGGCTTGCTGGGAAGTGTAGGCTATTGACACTGGCAGGTAAGCAGTGGTAATTTTGGCCTGCAAATATGATACACCATGGCAAAGCACTTCACACCATCCCTGGATCCTTATTCTTACCTTACACCTCCACTTTGCTTTATTCTAAGGATGCTGTAAAACACAATGAGAAAATACTCCCTAGAGTTATGCGCCATGGCAGCCTTGGGCAATGCTGGTGCCATAAAATAATCTATACAGCACAGTTGTGCAGGCCTCTCACTAGTATACATGTTAAGTGTGTTTTCTCTCCAATCCTTCCAGACCTGGTTGGCAACTACATGTAAATCATTGTAAGATGTATACAAGCAATGGGGCTTGGCTTAGCAGTTATGACATCCGTATCTCCTATTAGAGAGACCTGGTTCAAGCTTTGGTTTCATCTCTGTTTTTCAGCTAACACACTTTGGGAAGTAGCAGATGATGGCTCCAGTAGTTGGCTCCCTTACACCCAAGTGGAAGACCAGGACTAAGTCCCTGGTTCCTGGTTTTGACCTTCGCTTAAGCAGGACCTTTGTGGGCACCTTGGGGAGTGAGCCAGTAGATGGGAGCTGCATTCACCTCTCTCTCTCTCAAAAAAAGAAAAAAAAACTTTTTCTAATGTAAATGAAATTATGCCATGTGTATTCAATACCTTTCAGAGTCCTCCCTTCTTTAACTGTGGGGCTCAAATGTCCTGTGCCTACGTGTCCAACTTGAAAACTTATGATGGCTACCTGCGTTCAAAATCCCATTTTAAAATACTACTTGCTAAATGTATGATTTTGGTCAACCTACTAATCTTTTTGTGCCTTTCCTGGCATTACCTATGTTGTGTAGTGATTGGAACTACTCATTAAGTTGCTCTAAGCAGAGTGTTTTGAATATTTGCTGGGACACAGTAGATACTACCATTGCTCTCATTATTTTATGAAGAATACAGTAACTTACTTTGTGTTGATTACAATTATAAAATACTGTATCCACTTTTATCAACGTACTAGGTGCAAATACTTTGCTATAATACTGGTTTCTAACTTCCTTCCCAATTAAAATATTACCCTTAAAGTAATTACCACTAATAACATTATTATTCTATCATAAACACTAGCAGCTAATACTTATTGAGAGCTTATAAGGTGCAGGTATTTAATGAAGAGTAACTGGTGTGTGCTTTCCCTTACTTGATGCTTATGGAAATTCCACAAGATCAATGACATTAACAATAACAAAAATAATGATAAGTATAAGTATAGTATTGTTGACTAATAAGAAAACTGAACTTCAGAGTCATTAAGTAATTTGCCTAAGGTTCATTATAACTAAGGGGTGAAGCTGAGGATTAGAAATCCAGCTTAGGAGTGGTGTTGTGGCACAGTCGGTTGGGCTGCAAACATACTGACCCATCATGGCAAAGCCATGCTTGCAATGCTACCATTCATATCAGAGAGATGGCTTGAGTCCAGACTGTTTCCAATCCAGTTCCCTGCTGAAGCATCTGGGGAAGCAGCAGGTGACAGCCCAAGGGCTTGGGCCCCTGTCATTCACTGGAGAGATTAGGTGGAGTTCCAGGTTCCTTATTTTCACCTGGTCCAGTCCTGGATGTTCACTCCCTAACCATTTAGGGAGGGACCAGCAGATGGAAGACCTCTTTCTCTGTCTCTCCCTCTTATCTCTATCATTCTACCTTTCTATTAAATACAGTAACTATGTATATTTAAAAGAAACCCAGTTTGGGCCCTGCGCTATAGCCAAGTGGC